CCGCCCCTGCGCCTCTCCGTGCCTCCGCCTGCGCTCCGCGCCCCCCGCGCCGCCCCGCACCGCCCCCGGCCGCGGCGGCCATGGGAAATGTAGTCCGGGGCCGCCCGCCCCGGCGGGCTCTCCGGGCCGGGCGGGGGTCTTGGAGCGAGCCTGGAGCCGGGCATCCCCCCCGGCATCCCCTGACTTCCCCCGGCATCCCTGGGCGTGGCCCCGGCATCCCCCCGGCATCCCTCAGCCTCCCTCGGCACGGCCTCGGCCTCACCTGGCATCCCCCCGGCATCCCCCTGGCACGCCCAGCGTCACCTGGCATCCCCTCGGGCCCCGTGACACGGCCCCAGCGCCGCTCCAGCGTCCCTGGCACCCGCCCGACATCACCTCGGCGTCCCTCGGCATGGCCCCCGCATCCCCCGGGATCTCCTGGCATCCTCGGGCAGCTCCCTCAGCCCTTGCAGCCCCGCTCCCACCCCGGCTCCCACCCCGGCTCCCCCATCTCTGCTGTCCCAGCCCTGGGGACACTCGGGCCTGGGGCAGGTTTGCGCAGCCGGGGCAGAGCGGGTGAGCCGGCCCGGGCAGGGCAGCAGGAGCTTGTCGCAGCCGCGGGACCCCTCTGCAGAGGGATGGGCTGAGGGATCCTGGCTCCTGCTGCAGGAACCCGCAGCCCCTGCTGGTGCCCGGTGTGGGGTCTTTCCCCGGGACGGTGCCCAGGGGCCCTTTCCCCCCGGGATGCTGCTGCTGCACCACACGCCTCTCTCAGGATCTGGGGATGTTTCAGAGCCAGGCAGCTCCTGGCATCTCCCCTGGCATCAGCTGCTGCAGGCTCAGCACTTCCTCTCCGCGATTTTCCATCCTAAATGGCACCATTAGCGCGGGACGGAAAAGGCAGATATTTTATGTGCTGTCCGGGGGTGGGAAGGGAACTCTGGTTGCTTTGAAGAGGGACGGGGAGCAGCACGGCTCAGAGCCGCGGTTCCCACCATGGTGCCAGCGAGACGTTCCTTCCACGGGCACAGGAAGGGTGACACTCACGGACAACACCGAGCAAATCCCCGGCTCCAGTGAGGCTGCCCAGCTCCCCTGGCCCGGAGGCAGCTCCGAATCCCCCTGCCGGGGCGGACCCTCCCCGCCTCCGCCAGCGCCGCGCTGCAGTAGGGCCGGTCCGAGCGCCCCACGCCTCTGGCTCGAGCCCTCCCTCCTTCACACGGTGACAGGGCTGTCCCCTCCCGTCCACCCCAGCATCTCGGGGCCGCTGAACCTCCAAGATCTGATAGCGCCGGCCCAGATGGGTCAAAGGCAATTAACGTCAGGGCAGCCCGTTCCAGCGCACAGTGTCTGACAGCGCTGCGCTGACGGAGCCCGGCGCTGCCCCGGCCGCGGCTCCGCAGGCTCCTCCTGCCCCGCATCCTCCCCGCACACGCCACCAGCAGCCGTCACAGCCCACCCGGCCTCTCCTCGGGCTCTGCTGGGCACCGCGGGCTGGGGGCAGCAGCAGCCACAGCCCGGCCGTGCTGCTGACACCCGGCAGGGCAGGGCGGCTCTCCCCGCACCAGGCAGTTCCTGGTCTCCCCACAGGCTGATGAGCTCCCTGCGAGAGGCTTTAATCGCATTTCCCTGTTTGCTGCTCCAGGAGACAGAGATAATGAAGGATGGGATGGAAGCGGCGTCTGTGCAGTCCCTGCAGCAGGAAAATGGGGAAAAGGAGGAGGGGAGCAGGGGGCACAGCCAGGGAGCTGCTCACACCCCTTATCCCTGGGCTGCTGGGGACAAGTGACCACCACCAAACCCCTGCTCTGTCCTGGCTGAGCTGTGCAGGAGCACGAGCCTTCAACCTCTGCAGGATCCCATCGCATCCCATCGCATCCCATCGCATCCCGTCCCGTCCCGTCCCGTCCCGTCCCGTCCCGTCCCGTCCCATCCCATTCCCAAGCCCAGGAGGCACCAGGCTGTGCGCTCCGTGTTTCAGTCCCTGTGCAATGGGAATTACCCTGCACCGGGCAGGAGCGAATTCCCGGCAGCAGGGCTCGCTGCCCGGGGCCTGCAGCCCCCTCTCCTCCCCTCTCCCGACTGGAGCTGCCCGCTGTGCCTGGCACGGGGCTGTGCCGCCGGGAGGAGCAGCCCTGCCCCACCTGCCATCTGCCACCTGGCCCGGCGGGCACCGGGGACATATGGCACCGGGCAGGGCTGGCGCTGTGCTCGGGGCTGTGCCCGCTCCCTGCCTGCCCTGCAGGGCTCCCTGCCTGCCGCGCAGAGCCCGGGGCTCCATCCTCCGGGAGAGCGGACCCGGCCCGTGAGCAGGAGGGGCAGAGGTGGCCACAGCCTCCCGTCCCCAGCGCGAAGTGCTGCGGGTGGTGGGTAGGGACGCCCGGGGCACACCGAGCCGCACCGTGCCCACCGGGGCTCCGGGCCCAGCCCCCCGAGCTGGCAGCAGGCACGGCAATGCGGAGGAAGGTGCTGGCACTCCCCGCCCCAGGAGCTGCCGGTGCCATCGGCGGGGACACGGGGCCGGTGCCAGGTGCCCGGCCCGGCCCCGCGGTGCTGCCTCTCTCCCGGAGCTGCTCGGGGGGTGTGAGCATCACCCGCTGTGTGGAGTGCTGATTTCCCCTCTCATTGAATGAACGCATTTTAATGAGCTTTATGGATGTGATAAATACACAACCGGGGAGCAAAGGAGCCCCGTGCCCCGGTAAGGACCTGGGATGTTTGCCAGGCAGCAGAGGAGAAGGAGGGGATTTTTTCTCCTCTCTGTAATTATTGCAGGAAGGCGAACAGCAGGACAGGAAGGTTTCAGGGCAGTGCAGCTGTTCTAAGGAATCCCCTGTATTCCACATCCTTTGGGTGATTTTCCCAATAGCTCCCTGGGATCCATCTCACACCAGGGAAAAGGGAGCATGGCAAGGCTCGGCTCATTTCCCATGAGCACAGGGCAACATTGGCCCTCTCCAAACATGAGCCATGTTTATGGAGAAGTGGGAGCAAGGACCAGGTCCTGTGAGGAGGGAGGGCCCAGGGAGAGCTGCAGGCTCCTTTCCTGGAATTGCACCCATAATCCAGACCCACCACAAACCCCCTGCTGCAGCCAACCTCACTCTCCAGGGAATTACAGGAGGGATAAATGAATGAATGCTGGCTAATTAAGCAATAAATTACTGCAGGCTCTCTGGACAGTGCCTGGTGCAGCTGCAAACCTCCCAGAGCCACCCTTCACTCCTCACACCCGTCACCCCTTGGATGGGCAGCAGGGAAGCAGGGGGGGATCGGAAATTAAAATGCTGTTGGAAAGTTTAATTTTATCTTCATCATTTGTCATCCCGGCCTCGGCGCTGGGATCGCTCCCTGCGCGGGCTGCATTTCTGCCCGGGGGGCACAGGGGCTGTGCCCGCGGGCAGGAGCCACTCCCGAGTGTCAGCACATCCCTGGGATCCCGCTGGCCCCACAGGGTCAGTGACCTCGGGCATCCTGCCCTGATGGGCACGGCTCCGGGCGGGAGGGATCCCGCGGGCGCTGCAGCCAGAGCGGTTCCTCTGCCTGCTGTGCAGACTCTGATCAGCGGGCAGAGCGCCTGGCTCTCTTTCCAGCCACAGAAGGATCCAAATGAAGGCTGGATGTCCCTGATTAACCATTACCCTTCCCACGCCTGTTCCCAATGCCGGGATTGTGCTCTGCTGTGCTGTGCCACCCCTATGCAGATCACTGCTGCTGCTGCTGCTGCTCCATTACAGTTAAAACCAGGAGCAGGTGTTTGATGATATTTATTGAGGGAACGTGAGGATTGCTTCATCTTCCTCTTGAATCATGTCTTCCTGCTTGGGAAGAGCAGACACAGAACCACCTGGCTGCCTCACACCCACTGCAGGTCCCACCCCTGGTGTCCCACAGGGCCCCCAGAGACCTTTGAGGTGTTTCATGAACAGGAGAAATGTGCTGGTACTGGGGAAAGCCTCGTGCTGCTCGTGGAACGAGCACGCCTTGGAAAGCCTGGCCTGTGTGCCTGGTTTAGCTGGGATGGAGGAAGGAAGGGCCCAGCACTGCTGTGCTGAGCCCCCAGAGGGTGCAGGGCTGGACCCGCAGGTGCCAAAGGCCAGAGCCCCGCTCAGTGCCCAGGGCTGTCCCCAGAGCTGGGACATCTCCCTCCCCAGGGCTGTGACAGGGGCGTTGGCATCACACTGCCCTGCAGCTCGCTCACAGCCAGCAGGGCGACAGTGATGACAAATGACACTGGCCCTGTAATCACAGCCAGGCTCTGCTCAGCCAGTGCTGCTGCATTATTGAGGGCAACCAAAAATACTCCCAGCTCAATCATTAACAGGTCTGGGCCTCATGGCGAGCGGCTGCCAGGGCTGCCTCAGCCTGGGCTGCAGAGGGGACAGGGGACAGCCTGGAATGTGCTGCAGAGGTGTTCACATCCTCCTCTCCACAGGGACGAGGCCCTGGGGGAGCAGAGCACCTCGGAGGGTTTGGGATGCCGGTGGGAAGGTGGCATTAGGATAGCATCCCTTGCCTTACTGTCAGTGTCCTCGCTGAGCCTGGCTGCTCCGGGAGATTCTCTGCTCCAGGGGAGTGGAGCAGGGCATGCTCCTCTCAGCCAGTACCACTGAATTCCCTCTGCTGAGGGGCTCCTTCTTCGGCAGGGACCAGCATGGACCCGAACCTCCTCCCTCTCCTCCAGGAGGAATGCCATCCTCTCCTGGGAGCTGCCTGTGCCCAGCTCGCTCAGCCCACAAGTGGGGTGACTGTGCCCGTGCCAGATGTGCTCATGTGCAGCCAGATGTGCAGGTGCTCAGAGCACGATGCACATTGGAGGAGCAATGCCCAGGGAGGAGTTAACCCACAACTCCAACAACCACACCGCCATGGGCTGATGTTCCTCCAAAGCCCAAGAGGAGCCGCAAAAGATATCAGAAAAAAAGTGGGTTTTTTTCTGTTTTCTGATTCATTTTCCATCAGAAAG